GTGTAGGATTGGGGTGTGTAGGAGGATTTGGAAATTTGTACTACTATGTACTAAATTTAGGTTGGAATCTTGAACTTTTGATTTATGAACACTGTGGAGGTGTAGGATTGGGATATGTAGGAAGATTTGGAAATTCGTACTAGAACTGTACGAAATGTACTAAATACGGTATCATTTATATTTGGCGAACCAGTAGAGCTAGAAATCTGAAATTTGGATTGAGGGTCACTGATGGAGTGTAGGATAGATATACCAAAGGGTTTTTGGAAAATCGAACTACAACTATCCGAAAAATACGATAATGTACTAAATTTGGTACAATTCTGTAGCATGTGAACGGATAGCGTTAAAAACTTTAAATTTGGAGTGTGAATTATGGTTGAGATGTAGGATCCATTTACGGAGATGGTTTTGAATGCGCTTACTCATGTGTACGAAAAGTACTATATGGTACTATATTTGGTACAAATTTAATCTATACTAATAAAAGAGTAAAGTGATTGACCGACTGACTGATTTAACTATTCATCAACGCCCAGACGAAACGGCTGGAGCTAGAATCTTGACATTTTGGGTGAGTGTGACTCTTGGTCCAAAGGTGGCAGGCTGGGTTTTTGGAAATTCGTACTAGAACTGTACGAAAGGTACTAAAAAGTACTAAATATGGTATCATTTGTATTTGGCGAACCGGTAGAGCTAGAAATCTGAAATTTGGATTAAGGGTCACTGATGGAGTGTAGAATAGATGTAGAAAAGGACTTTTTGGAAATTCCAACAATAAGTATCGGAAAAGTACTGAAATGTACTAAATTTGGTACAATTTCGTAGCATATGAATGGATTGAGCTAAAAACTTGAAATTTGGAATCCAAATTAAGGTTGAGAATTAGGGTCGATATGAAGAGAGTTTGGAAAGCGTGTACTCATGTGTACGAAAAGTACAATATGGTACTATATTTGGTACAAATTTGATTTGGAGGTACAAATCGAACTGGAATCCTGGAATTTCAAATTAAAATTACCGTCGGAGTGTAGGATTGGGATAGTTTTGAAAATTTGTTACTTATGTGTACGAAAAGTACTAAATCGTACTATAATCGGTACAGTTTGGATTTGGGTGATCCTATAGAGCGGGAACAATAAAATTTGGAATCAGGATCACTGTATGGGTGTGGGATTGGGGTCAAGATTCAGTTTACGAAAATAATACATATGGGTACTAAATGGTACTAAATTTGGTTCAATTTGAATTTTAGGTGAACTAGTGGAGCTAGAATCATGAAATTTGGAGCCAGCATCACTGTTGAGGTGTCAGATTGAGATATGTGAGAAGTTTTAGAAGTTTGTACTAATGTGTACTAAATTTGGTACAATTCGAATTATGAGTGAACCGATATAGTTTGAATCCTGAAACTTGGATTTGGGATCACTGTGGGGGTGTAGGGTTGGGGTATGTAGGAAGTTTTAGAAATTTGTACTAAGTGTACTAAATTTGGTACAATTTAAATTGTGGGTGAAGCGATATAGTTGGAATCCTGAAATTTTGATTTAGGATCACTGTGGAGGTGTAGGATTGGGGTGTGTAGGAGGATTTGGAAATTTGTACTACTATGTACTAAATTTAGGTTGGAATCTTGAACTTTTGATTTATGAACACTGTGGAGGTGTAGGATTGGGATATGTAGGAAGATTTGGAAATTCGTACTAGAACTGTACGAAATGTACTAAATACGGTATCATTTATATTTGGCGAACCAGTAGAGCTAGAAATCTGAAATTTGGATTGAGGGTCACTGATGGAGTGTAGGATAGATATACCAAAGGGTTTTTGGAAAATCGAACTACAACTATCCGAAAAATACGATAATGTACTAAATTTGGTACAATTCTGTAGCATGTGAACGGATAGCGTTAAAAACTTTAAATTTGGAGTGTGAATTATGGTTGAGATGTAGGATCCATTTACGGAGATGGTTTTGAATGCGCTTACTCATGTGTACGAAAAGTACTATATGGTACTATATTTGGTACAAATTTAATCTATACTAATAAAAGAGTAAAGTGATTGACCGACTGACTGATTTAACTATTCATCAACGCCCAGACGAAACGGCTGGAGCTAGAATCTTGACATTTTGGGTGAGTGTGACTCTTGGTCCAAAGGTGGCAGGCTGGGTTTTTGGAAATTCGTACTAGAACTGTACGAAAGGTACTAAAAAGTACTAAATATGGTATCATTTGTATTTGGCGAACCGGTAGAGCTAGAAATCTGAAATTTGGATTAAGGGTCACTGATGGAGTGTAGAATAGATGTAGAAAAGGACTTTTTGGAAATTCCAACAATAAGTATCGGAAAAGTACTGAAATGTACTAAATTTGGTACAATTTCGTAGCATATGAATGGATTGAGCTAAAAACTTGAAATTTGGAATCCAAATTAAGGTTGAGAATTAGGGTCGATATGAAGAGAGTTTGGAAAGCGTGTACTCATGTGTACGAAAAGTAATATATGTTACTCTATTTGGTACAAATTTGATTTGGAGGTACAAATCGAACTGGAATCCTGGAATTTCAAATTAAAATTACCGTCGGAGTGTAGGATTGGGATATGAACGTAGTTTTGAAAATTTGTTACTTATGTGTACGAAAAGTACTAAATCGTACTATAATCGGTACAGTTTGGATTTAGGTGATCCTATAGAGCGGGAACAATGAAATTTGGAGTCAGGATCACTGTAGGGGTGTGGGATTGGGGTCAGGATTCAGTTTGCGAAAATAATACTTATGGGTACTAAATTTGGTAAAATTTGAATGTTAGATGAACGAATAGAGCTAGAATCATGAAATTTGGAGCCAGGATCACTGTTAAGGTGTAAGATTGAGATATGTGAGAAGTTTTAGAAATTTGTACTAATGTGTACTAAATTTTGTACAATTTGAATAGTGATTGAATCTATATAGTTTGAATCCTGAAACTTGGATTTGGGATCACTGTGGGGGTGTAGGGTTGGGGTATGTAGGAAGTTTTAGAAATTTGTACTAAGTGTACTAAATTTGGTACAATTTAAATTGTGGGTGAAGCGATAGAGTTGGAATCCTGAAATTTTGATTTAGGATCACTGTGAAGGTGTAGGATTGGGGTATGTAGGAGAATTTGGAAATTGGTACTACTACTTGAACTTTTGATTTATGAACACTGTGGAGGTGTAGGATTGGGGTATGTTGGACGATTTGGAAATTGGTACTACTGTGTACTAAATTTGGTACAATTTAAATTGTGGGTAAACCGATAGAGTTGGATCCTCAAATTTTGATTTAGGATCACTGTGGAAGTGTAGAATTGGGGTATGTAGGAAGTTTTGGAAATTCGTACTACTGTGTACTAAATTTGGTACAATTTTAATTGTGAATGAAACGATATAGTTGGAATCCTGAAACTTGGATTTAGAATCACTATGGGGGTGCAGGTTTGTGGTAAGAAGGAGGTTTTATAATTTCGTACTACTGTGTACTAAATTTGGTACAATTTAAATTGTGGGTGAAAATTCGTTAGTATTAAATTACCGTAAGGAACAAATAAGTTTAAAAACGTATTATGATACTATTTGCATTGGTCCATCGGGAGGGTCGAGAAAATAGTACACTTTCAGGATATATAAATACAAGTTTATAAAAAATTAAGATATAGGACCTATCATTATTCGAAATGTTTCAAATTTAGACTTAATCCGAAAGTGTATTGCGTAGCTAAATTAATGTTTATATATTTTAATTATAGAAAGATCCGCTAACAACGTAGCGGGCATATGCTAGTATATATATATATATATATTTATATATATATATATATAACTAAGTAGGGGAGACTGGGGCACCTTCGGCACTTTTTTTTAGAGCTCTATATCTCAGTACTTATTCAACATATATAACAACTTTATGGCTGATTATTGTCCTCGGACATTTAATTATAAAAAATAGTACCAAAAAGATATAAAAAATAGTATTAGTTAAAAAATTTTACAGTTTTGTACAAAAAGTCAAATTCGCCGAATGTGCCCCAACCCGGGGTAGCTTCGGCATTTTATGGGGCACATTCGGCACCATAGTCATAGCCGGGTAATTATCATCGCTATCAGTCTGGTTGAAATTCAGATACTCTAAAGGCTCTATTGGGTTTAATACACGACAACATGTTTGAATTTCTGGGCTGTATTTCCTAGCGACGGACGTTGAAATCTAAAGGTCGCACACACTATCAGAAATAGGTTTTTTCTATCGCATTTTCGTCAATACAAACACGTTTGATCTTATATATGCAATTTCGAACCATATTAAAGGATTAGTTTTAAAGACAAACTCAAAAACATTTTAAGGAAATAATATTGCACAATCTGTAAATGGCCGAATGTGTCCCACTTTAAAATGCCGAATGTGCCCCGAATGTACTTTTTATAGTTTTTTTTTCATTGTTTTCGATCAGTTTTGTAAAAACATTATATTTTTAAATATTTCTATAATAATACACATCGTAGTTAACCACATTTTAATAATATTGTCTTAAAAAAATTAAAAGTTTTATACACGAAATACTTACGAAATGGAATTGAAATATTACAGAAACATCTATAAAAATACAAAAACCCATGTATCTAAATAAGCTTATTAGTTAGAAATTTCAAACTTTGTGTCAGTTATTTATTTCGATATTCGATACCCATGTATCGAAACTAGTGATGTACGGTGAGAGCTTCATATCGAAAACGCGATTGCCGAAGGTGCCCCGATGCCGAAGGTGCCCCAGTCTCCCCTATATATGCAGCTTTCGTTGATAGTCTTTGCAAAAATAATTCAATTGTCTGAATGATCAGATCAGTGATTTGCTTACATAAAGCCAAATCGCTTAAATGTTTTACGACATTATTTTATGATATAAAAATAATTGTTATTAATTTATTAAATAATTAAAAAAATAATATATATATATATATATATATATGTTTCTTATTTCCTTGCAAAAATTATCAACTGTTCAAAGGGAAAATTAAATCCACCATTGCAATCATTGAAATATTTAAAATTAGGTTTAGCCTTCATCATGGCCTCGGCAAAATCATTCATAAATTCATCCTGTCTTTCCACAGGGATACGATGTGTATAGTGTGAGACTGCTTTCATATTTTCTATAAAATAGACATAATAAAAATAATTTTTTATATAAAAAATTTTAAAATATCTTGTTACTTACTTTTAAAATCCTCAATACTGGCATAAGTGTAAATTGTCGGTCGCAACTGGACATCAATATCATGCAAACCACAATCGTTTAACATTTTATTAACCTCACCGACGGGATCGTAGGCATAATGCCACGAACAAGTGTAATTTTCAACATCCGTCATATACGCAGACCATTGAATTGTTTTGCTCAGCTTCTGATAGGCATCATAGTATGGAGAACGTGCGAATACTGTTAGTAGACAATTGCCACCTTCCGGCCGGAGGAGGGAGTATATATTTTGAAAGGCTTTCCTGAAAGATAAAAATCATAAATTACACGGTGCAACAAGAATTGGGTGGTGGGAAATTACTAAAATGTATATGAATGTTTATACCCTACACAACTATGTTGTCAGCCCCAAGCAGTGTTGCCAATTTAGCACTTTTAGTGCTAGATTTAGCACTTTTTAAACTCGATTAGCACCAAAAAAATTGGTCTAGCACCTAGCATCTTTTTTAGCATTTTTTATTTTTTTCTGGATATTTTCAAAAATTTCAGTCTATTTGGTTTTATAGTAAAAAAATTGCCGTTGAACACCGTTGAACATGTTGAACACCACGTGGTTCAGTGGTGTTTATTAAAATTTTCTTAAAACATGGTTCAGTACCCCATATGGTGACTGTGACATGGTCTGGTATTAGGTTGTTTATTAGGGAAAATGAAAAAAACAATCATGAACCCAAACTTTCTGAAATGTCAAATTATAGCCAAAAATGGGTCACGTCCCATTTTATATGGGAGTTATGTCAAAAATGGATATAATTCGAACATTTTCGCCAAATATATATTTGAAATTACAGCCACTTCGGTGGCTTTTAAAACTTTAAAATTATGCGAATAGGACGGAAATTTTATATGGAATATATGATCAAATATAGAATTTGTCCGTATAAATATTTTTTACCCTAACAAGAACCAGAGAATACGGCAACATCCCTCAAAATACCGAAAACAGATCGGTACTTTAAGCCAGCCTTCGAAGCCTACGCGCAATGTGATATTACAATCAATTCTATTAAAAAACGTCCCCGACCGCTTTCTGGAGGCTACCCCGAAACGGCCCAATATTGATAATTCTTGGTATGGAGATTTCCTGCTTAATGAGAATCCAAAATATCAAATTGAAACCACTTCGTTTGAATAATGTGCCTAAAGTCACCAAACCAACGAATAATGGAGTTACCGCTCTATACCAAAACGTGGACACATATTGATAATGTTTGGTAGGCAGATTTTTTATACCCTCAGCCTTATGGCTAATGAGGGTATATACACTTTAATACGGTGAAAATATGCCTCATCGAAATATTGGTTTTAGACCCTATGTTTCTTTGGACCAAATCCGTTTCAGAAAATTTGGAGTCGATTTACGCATGTCCGTCCGTCTGTCTATCTGTCTGGCTGGTGCGCACTATAACTCTCGAAGGGAGTAATCGATTTCATCCAAAATTTGAATTTAATATTTCTTCCAAACATATTTAAGTTCGAAGATGGTGAATATCGGTCGGTTAGTAAATCCAATATCAGGGTAATGGAATGTCCGATTTGAACCAAACTCTTCATCTATCCTAGGTCAAGTAGGAATATGGGACCCTTTGTCCATTCCTTCTGGTACCTCCCCCACAAATGGTCAAAATTTTCAATATTTGTAAATCCAATATCAGGCGATCGGAATGTCATATATGAACCAAACTTTGCACATACCATTATTTTTACGAATTTTAGATTATTTCCAAAGATGGTCAACATTTTTTAATATTTATAAATGCAATATTATTGCATTGGTATATTCTCTATACCAACCCTATATCAATGGACCAAGTAGTTTATACAATTTTATCAACATTAAATCCGAAACCTCTGATAAAAACATATTTCTTATATATCTTATATAAAGTCTGTGTGTAATTCCGAAGACCTCCGCAAACCACACTTTTTTACTTGTTTTCAATGAAAATTCAAAATATCAAATTATAGCTAAATCGGTTGGGGCTACCCCAAAAAGGACATTGCGAGCTATATATTTCCAGGTTTTGCAAGCAAATCTTAAGAAATACAGATTTCATTATTAGCTTTAAGCGAAATTCCTTCTTTAAACCTTTTAGCACTTTTATTTGGCACTTTTTAAAAATTTTTAGCATTTTCTAGCATTTTTCTAAACAAAATCTAGCATTTTTTAATGACAAAGTTTTGGCAACACTGGCCCCAAGAGTTAGTAAACCCGCGAAATATTGTTCCTAGACCCACCTTTTAGTATACCGATCATCATATCTCGTCTAGAGTCGATCTAGACATGTGTGTAAACACAACACTGGTCACAATTATGGATCGATCGTCACGAAATTTTGCATGTAGGGCGGATTCTGACCAAAGAAATCCCTTATTGTTTTTGGTAATAATCCGTTAATATTTAGGGCGGGTTCTGACCAAAGAAATCCCTTATTGTTTTTTGTAATAATCCGTTAATATTTAGGGAATGAGAGGCTACAATTATGGCCCAAACACCATGAAATTTTACACGAGAATCTGGCCAAGCATGACACATTTCATGATGGTCGATCAATATTTAGCGGGTCAAATGGACCTAGACTTTTGTGTGCAAATTTACGAAATTTGTATTTTATGGCGTATATATTTTCTCCTGAAGGACATAGACCCGATAACTATCTACTGTTGGACTTATACATAATATTTACTGATATTTATCTACGTATTCGGATATTATTTAGTAACTCAATACCACACTATAGAGAGGAAATATAGCGCTGAACGCTGAGAATTTTTCCAAGAAGTTCATGTTATGTTCAAACACAATGCTGGTGATGTAGTAATTTTGGGAAAGGAAATTGATGAACTAATCTGAAGGGCTTTTGTAATGATCTGTCACTATTCGGCGGATCAAGTCAGCCAAGATCTTTCTCTTTGAATGTTATGGTATAAATGTTCACCCCGAGAAAACAATATTCGGAAAAATTGTCAGTGTAAGAAAGACGTGCTTTCACCTGTAATGACGGGGGAAATATCACGAAATATTGCCCAGGTTCGGAATATAGATCGGCATGGTCAATCAAATCGGCTATTTTTCATAGTTAATTAAGGTATGGCATTGTTTTATACCTATAATACATACACCAACAATTTCATGCTATTTTGATATTAAATACTGCTAAAAGATGATATATTCAAAATGTTCTTATGTTAGATCCGCCATTTTGAATTCATTTGAAGTTCAAAATAGTTTGATTCGCTATATTGAATTCATTTTATTTTCAAAATCGATCCACCCTATTGAATTTATACTTTTTTCTTGTAGAATCGAAATCAACGTCCCCGAAACCCTTATATATGGCATTTTAAATCATAAACCCTCTGTTCTAATTATGGCCAAAAAAATGGGATCTGTGGCCCATACTGAGATCGGTGGGAAATATGTCCTCTCACGAAGAGGACAGAAGTAGTATAGTACAAGGAAAAAATATTCCTAGGCAAAATTATAACCTTATTATAACCTTATCGAACAGATATCCAAAAGTCTCATAGGAAACATAAATGGAAAGGCCACTGCAGAAAAGCTGTAGCTTCGGAATGAATATACGAATGCGCTATTAGACCTAAAATTTGTCGACAACAAGACACAAAATTTTAATTCGCTTGCCTATTCACAATAAGATCAACAAGTGAATAAACACAATTTCATCTCAGTAGAAGAAACATCTATTATTTGATGCACAACTTGTATGAACTCAGACGAAAATATATAGGGGTTATATATACATATGAAAATATTTTACAAACTCCAATTCGCGTTATTGTAGCTCCAAAATTATACGTTGTGCAGAAATTCGTCGCAATAGAAAAAACTTTAGTTCTTTGGCACACAATTTAGACAAAATCAGAAATATATATGGAAGCTATATATAAACCTGAACCGATTTCAACAAGTTTCAATGTAATACTCTCTGCAATATTTCATGCAACGCCACCAAACGTAAACTCCTCATTTTAGACTCAATTCAGTATGGTATGCCAAATTTCGTTGAAATCGAAGGATATATAGCGACTTTGGTGCGCCATTTACCTTAAATCGGACGAAAATATATATGGAAGCTATATCTATATCTGAACCGATTTTCACGAAACTTAACACACATCATTCTAGACTCAATTTAGTAGGCTATGCCAAAGTTTGTTGATATCGAAAGATTTATAGGGACTTTGGTGCACTATTTACATTAAATCGGTCGAACATCTGTATCTAATTCTGAACAGATTTTAAAGAAATTTTACACACATCATTCTAGACTCAACACAGTACGCTATGCCAAATTTCGTGGAAATATAAAGATATGTGTGGTCTTTGGTATACTATTTACATTAAATCGGGCGAAAATATATATATAGGAGCTATATCTAAATCTGAATAGATTTGTCCCAATTTCAATAGGGTTCGGCCTTGGGCCAAATAGACGAGCTGTGCCAAATTTCATCCAATTCGGACATACATACATGCATAAATCGACTTAGAAAGTGTTTCCATGCATATCCCCAAAAGGAACCATGTGTCTATCTCGTTTCCTTTTGCCTGTTACAAACATATGCACAAAGACACAATACCAATATGTAGACCAAAAATATTGACTGATCATCACCAAAAGATCCATACATATTCGTTGACTAGATCTCATTCACTTCAGTACAATTGGTATTAATTTATAGGTCAACCACTCCTTTTGAATATCCTGTCAACATCTGTCGACTATGTCATTCTGGACTAAATATTGACTAGGAGTAAATATACGCTAATTTTGTCGTAAATAATGATAAATATTGACAGATTTCCATTAAAATAGTCATAATAGTGGTCTCTCGAACAACCAGGATATCAAACAATAATAAACTTTTTGGTCTATCATCTTAAAATTAATCGATTTTCTTTATAAAGGACCGGGCTTACATTCAAAAATTCATAAAACTTGGTCCATAACTAAAGGTTTTTATTTTGTTTACAATTTATTATGGTTAGACACACATGTCTAAATCGACTCGACTAGTCTAGTCAATAAATTATTGGGGTCACACGATTTTATAATACCCTCACAACATAGTTATGTACGATATCATTCTGGTCTTCCAGTCCACAGATTTTTTTTTTTTTTTTAATTAAATAAACCACTCTTCTCTACTTACCTTTGATTTGGTATCAATTGCAGACAAAAGAACGACAGCAAATGATCAAATTGCCCCTTTAAATCATTGGGTAATTCTTCGCCCTCCGTGGCTATATTCAGAATACGAAATTCACAATTTTTCACTTTATTTTCGTAGTGCTTGCGGCCGTATTCCAATAAATTCGGATTTAAATCTGAGCAAACAACTCGCTGAAAATCTCGACCAAATATTGGATAAACCATTTCGAGAAAAACATCACCAATAGCTGAACCCACATCGATAATAGTGTCTAAACCATCAGCACGCCAATGGAATTTTGAAGAATATTCTCTAACAATTGTGGCGGCATTTTCACGTTGCAACTCATTGGTTTCTTGATACAGTTTTGGATTGTTCATTTTCAATGCAAAATTATTTTGTATTTTAGTTTAATGTGTAGAAAAGATATGACTATTTACTAAAGTGCACTCTATTGCATCGGGGTTTTTATATGTCAGAGATTTCCATGTAATTAACCCTTTAATCACCAAATAGTTTGCAGATAAATTAAAAAAAGTTTATAACCTCTTAAGTAAAAAAAACAAGTGAAAAAGCGTTAAGTTCGGCCGGGCCGAACTTTGGATACCCTCCACCATAGATATACGGGCAGGTACTAGAAATGAAAATATAGGGAACATGTCAAAAAGTGGACCTATACCGACATTTCTAAAAACGGATTATGTAAACCATAATGTAAACAACAATACGAATTTCAGAAAATTTTAATAGATAATTATACCTCCAGCCTTACAGCTAATGACGGTGTATACACTTTAACACAATGAAAATGTGCCTCATCGAAATATTGGTTCTAGACCCCATGTTTCTTTGGACCAAATCCGTTTCAGTAAAGGTGGTTTTCATTCAAACCTCGCACATATTATTATTTCTTCCAAACTTAGTTCAAATTCGAAGATGGGGAATATCGGTCCACTTCTTCTGGTACCTCCACACAGGGGCTAGGTCTAAATGCGGCTATAGTTCATTATCGAACCTTACGTTCTAATTGTTTATCTCGCTATCCTCCGCAGGTGAAATGATTACAACAGAGCCTTAGAACCAAAATTAAAACGCGTAACAAATCAGATAACTATTTTAATATAAAAAAGGGGGTTATATGGGGACTACCCCAAAAAGGGGGGCGGATATTAATAATTTTTGGTAGGGAGATTTGTTACCATATACGACTACAAAATACCAAATTGCAGCAAATTCGGTTGATAAACGCGTTCAAGAACCCCAAAATACCGAAAATTGGGGGTATCCTTATATGGGGGCTATCCGTAAAAATGGATCTATATTCATAATTTTTTGTGGGGAGATTTGGTACCTATTAAGAACTCAAAATACTAAATTACAGCTAATTCGGTGGAAAAATACGACCAAAACCCCCAAAATACTGAAAATTAGGAGGTACCGTTATATGGGGACTACCAGAAAAAGTGGACCTATATCCATAATTTTTTGTGGAGAAATTTATTACCCAATATGAACCCAATATAGCAAATTTCAGCGAATTCCGTTGAAAAACGCGGTCAAGAACCCCAAAATACCGAAAATTGAGGGGTACCGTTATATGGGGGGTAGCAGAAAAAATTGACCTATATTTATAATTTTTAGTAGGTTTATTTGGTACCGAATAAGAACTCAAAGTACCAAATTTCAGCGAATTCTGTTGAAAAACACGCTCAAGAACCTCAAAATACCGAAATTTTGGGGTTACCCTTACATGGGGGCTGTCCGAAAAAATGGACCTATATTTATAATTTTTAGTGGGGATATTTGCTACCCAATAAGAACTCAAAGTACCAAATTTCAGCGAATTCGGTTGAAAAACACGCTCAAGAACCTCAAAATACCGAAAATTGGGGGGTATCCTTATATGGGAGCTATGCCTAAACGTGGACCGATATAGCCCATCTTCGAACTTGACCTGCCTGCAGACAAAAAACGACTCTATGCAAAATTTTGGCGCTCTATCTCAACTCGTTTAGACGCTAGAGTGATTACAACAGACAGACGGACAGACGGACATGCATAAATCGTCTTAGAATTTTACGCTGATCAAGAATATATATACTTTATAGGGTCGGAAATGAGTATTTCGATGCGTTACAAACGGAAAAACAAAACTAATATACCCTCCATACTATGGTGGAGGGTATAAAAACAGTAAGGAAAGTAGTAAAGTCGGACTGGACCGACTATATGATACCCTTCACCACTTTGTGTACATATTTATCCGAAAAGACGTCGCCTTTTTGAAGGAATTTTGACATGAAATTGCATTTCATTTGGGCAAGTTTAGAGTCCTTTGCGCACAGTGGGACAGATTTGTGTAAATCGATTTAAAGCAAACTTGACACACGCTATTCGGTATGCTGCACTGTTTAAATTTTAATCTCAATAAATAAGTCGAAATTATATATGGAAGCTACGAGATATCTATATCTGAACCGATTTGAAACAAACTTGCCAGAGATTAATTTATGTTAATTTCAATACGTTGTGTCAATCGGCCTAGCTATGGATCTTTAGTGCACAATTTAATTAAAATCGGATGAAAATATATATATAGGAGGTGTACACATCATTCCGGATTTAATTCAATACGCTATGCCAAAATTCGTGCAAATCGAATGATTTTCAGAGACTTTGGTGCATCATTTACCTAAAATCGGCCGAAACTATGTATGGAAGCTATATCTAAATCTGAACCGATTCTCACGAAACTTAGCACACATCATTCTAGACTTAATTTAGTACGCTATACTAAAATTCGTGCAAATCAAATGATTTTCAGGGACTTTGGTGCATCATTTACCTAAAATCGGGCGCAACTATATATGGGAGCTATATCTAAATCTGAACCGATTTTCAGGAAACTTAGCACACATCATTCTAGACCTAATTCAGTAGGCTATACCAAATTTCGTGCAAATCGAAAGATATATAGGGACTTTAATGCACCATTTTCCTTAAATCGAACGAAAATATATATGGGAGCTATATCTAAATCTGGACCGAATTTTCCCAATTTCAATAGGGTTCTTCCTTGGGCCAAACAAATGAGCTGTCCCAAATTCCATCAAATTTGGATCATAAATGCGACCTGTACTTTGTTTACAATTTAACATAGACAGACGGACGGACGGAAATGCATAAATCGACTCAGAAAGTGACTCTATGCATATTCTCAAAAGGAACCATGGGTCTATCTCGATTATTTTTGCCTGTTACAAACATATGCACAAAGACATAATACCCTGTACCTCAGTGTGGTGAAGGGTATAAATTACTGTTCACCAAACAGGCGCCCGTGGGCGCTTTGGGAGAGTACCAATACAATCACAGTTCTGTGTTCGAACTCAACATTATTCTCGACATCGAACATGTCGTATGCTTTGCAATGCTTTAACATATACGATCTGTACCGAGAGAGCAAAAATTACTCTCCCAACGGATCTATGCGTGTGTCCAATACAATCATAGCAGTTTGCATATGTATTGTCGGCTAACCCTGGTATAAATATAAAAGTTATAGGATCCTTCCTATAACCTAGTATACCTTAGGGATATACTAGGACTTAAATTATATAAATAAATACAGGATGTGATTAAATATTGACTCCCATCATGAATTTTATTTAACATCGATTTCAGCTTTCAATGGGTTAATTCAATCAAACCAATTAACCAACTTAATGATATATTTGGTTTATTGTACTCATTCAATTTTAAGAAATTAACCATAAACAATGGTTATTAACACAAGTGTTTTCATGGAATAATTTCTATATATTCAGTTAGCGTACAATTGATACACCTTTTTCAATAATAAGGGTCAGATACCATGTGCAGTCACTAATTAAATATTAACATACCACAAACAAAACTAACTCTAGTTGGATGTGTATTTTGATTTACTAAAAACATATTGTTCAAAAATCCAGACCAAAAAAATAATAAAATAAATTTTCAATATCTGATTTCACATTTGTAATTAGAGGCCATAGCTCTACATGACGTGTTCAATAATAATTTTATTATTTCAACTTTAAAACCAGTAAGGAAAACAGTAAAGTCGGACTGGGCCGACTATATGATACCCTTCACCACTTTGGGTACATTGTACAGGGTTGCCCATATTCGACGGACCCATGTTTTTTTTTAATCAAAGAAAAAAATAAAAATTTGGCGGTTGGCAATGTTAATCATTTAATTTGTGCCAAGTTGATTTGTTTACATCGATTTTTGAATATGATATCTCTCAAATGGCCGCCTCTGGCGTTGATGACGTATTGTGCCCTTTTTGCTGCATTTTCCATCGTTTTTGCCAACATTTCGGCCGGAATAGCGGTTATTTCTTCACGAATGTCGTCCCTGACCTCTTCTACGGTCCTTGGCTTGTTAACGTAAACCTTTGACTTCAATTATCCCCACAAGATGAAGTCAGGCGGCGTCAAATCGGGCGAACGCGGTGGCGGTCCAAATTCCCACTTTTCGACATCAAACGGCCCAGAAACAAATTCTTCAGAAAATCGATTGTTATGCGACTTGTGTGCGGTGGAACGCCGTCTTGTTGAAACCAGAACTGCCTCATACGCTTTCGACGAATAATTGGCATCACAAAATTGGTCATCATGTCGCGATAACGCTCCTGATTAATGGTAACAGCATGGCCATTTTCATTTTGGAAGAAAAACGGTACAATGACCGTTTTCTCCTGAGGATTTTCAGTGGCGTAAAAACAGCAATTTTGCTTATTTACGGTCCGATTCAATGTGAAATGGGCTTCATCGGACATGATAATTTTATTCCAAAATTGCTCGTCATCTTCGGCCATTTCGATAACTCTTTGGGTCCATTCCAATCGACGAGGCTTGTCCGCAGGCAACATTCTTTGCGTCAATTGAATTTTGTACGGGAACAAATGCAAATCAATGCGAATAATCCGTTGTAAAGTGGACCGAACCATGCTCAACTGCTGAGAACGGCGTTTTTGGGATGTTCTTGGGGACCTCTCAACACTGGCTCGTACGGCTGCGTCTGCACCAATTTCAACAAAACGCAATAAGCCATTCAAGTCTCAATTTTATTTCATGTTAATCGGACAAACATTAAGAGTTTGGTGCACCATTTATGTAAAATCGGACAAATATATATGTATGTGTGGGAGCTATATCTAAATCTGAACCGATTTCTCCGAAACGTAACATACAACATTCTAGACGCAATTCAGTACGCTATTCCACATTTCGTGGAAATCGAAGGATATATAGGGACGGTTAACACTTATCGTTGTAGATTCAATTCAGTACCCTATGTCAAATTTCGTGCAAATCGAAAGATATATGGG